ACATTTTTTGCTGATTATTTATTTATGTATTCTGTTGGTAACATGATGGATTGATTTGGTTGTGAGAACAAAAATAAAACAAGATCAGTTATGGAATTTGAGTTTAAATTTTTGAAAACCGTATTTTCGATAGATAACAAAACTATAAAATTGCAATGCATAAAACAAAAAGAAACTAAAATTGCATGGTTATTTTGTTTGTATGTTTAACATCTTACATCGATTTAAGGTATTTACATATGTATGCAACAACAAAAACACATGGCACGTTTCGTCAGACGATATTTTCGATGTAGATGCCCTGATTCAATTCTGTTTTTTTTTGGCTACAAATAAGAAATGATTAGACGTAACCAGAAAACCTAAAATAAGTTTTCTTTATATTTATTTCTCATTTTTACCAAAATAGTAGATTACTACCAATTAAGGGCATCTCGAGATCGGTTTGAATTGTACCAGAAATAGCCAATGCAGATTGCATTTTTCTTCACATTTCCCTTTTTATTAGTAGTCCAAATTAAAAAGGTGTTTTATGCTACCACGTTTGATGCTTGAACTGGAAAAACAAGCAAATCATCATTAACGTTTCAACAAAAGGCTTCGTGATTAATCATTAAAATACTATACATTCTCAAAATATAGATGATCAAATTGTTACATTTACGGTATGGACAAGGAAAAACAATAAATATTATATCCACCAATAGATATTTAACTCTTGGATGGGTTAAAAATAAGCTAAAACGGATAATGATACCAAATGTTTTGAAGTGCTTACAAAACCAGACATGTCTGTTTTATGGAATTACTGAGATTGACATCCAACCACCTAAAGTGGATCTGGTTATTATTATGACAAAATACGAATTAGACGTCAGATAGCTCTCCGTTAATTACGATGCCGATTCCGTTAATTGCCAAAGAAAAATTCCATGCTGTTTTAATAAAGATTGGGACCCTCGAAATATAAAAACTTAAAAATCTGGCACTAAAGTTTCCAAAATGAAAATTGACGTCACTGGCAAGTTTCTTAACCAAGTGCTCTAAACACATCCCCACCACGTGGACCCCTCCAACTTAACCATCAACTTCATGACCTAATTTCCCTGTTTCTTATTTTATTCTTATATTTTCTGGTTTTGTCAATTTAAAATATGAATTTCAGATTTGTTAAATCCATTGGTTGATCTTGATCCTAATATTCTAATCCGATTTTTTTTTGTCGACAGTATTCTAACCCAAATAATCCCGAATCTGATCGATAGAGATTTATCTTTTGCTCAAGTCCACTGATTATCGATTATGCAACACACAAAAAAAAACAGATGTTAATAAATAAGTCGAAAGTTTCGAATCAAACCACTTTTTCCTCATATCAAGTTTCGAATTTCAGTCACAAAAACATCATAAATAAACTAATTCAATTCGATCAAATAAGTAACTATATGCTTGTAAAGAGCCTAATTTCATCATAAATAGTTTTTTATACGATTTTTAAAAAAAAACAGCTTTGTTTTAAGTGCGTCCTACACTGCAAAGTACAAATTGACTGTACTGATTCCTTTGCTGACGTTATACGCGACCTTTTTTCTGTGGAACTAACTATTGTTGGTTATTTTTTCTGTCGGCATTTTGTTGGTAATTTCAATATAATGCATAACCATTAAAACAGCTCCAATACTAAGTCTAAGTATTGTTGTATTTATTACGCTAACAAATCAAAGTGATTATGAAATAAGAACACACCAATAGCATGGAAACAAATGTTAACACTAGTGTGACGTTATTCCTGGAGCTTAGACGCTGAAACAAGAACTAGAAGAATGTACATTTTGTATATTTGAATAAAATGATCTGTGTCTGTGTGCATTAGGAATTATCAATATGGATTAGTTTTTATGTTATGCAGAATTCGATTAACATACCTAGTTGACTAGAATGAAAAAAACGCATAAGTAGTTGACTAAATTGCTGTCAACAAAATAAAATTGACTAGATTTGTTATCAACTTATCATTTTTTTCTATAAATTTGCAGTACCGCGTATTTTATAATATTATCACGATATTAAAATACTGTGTAGTCATATGAAAGCATGTGAGGGAACCGCAATCACCGCTGAAACCTAGGGATCATGCCATTATATCTCTTTTTTTGTTTTTGTTTTTTAGCTGAGAAATTTTATAAATAGACATATTACTATATGCTAAAACCAAACTAAAATAAATTACAACTTTTCCAATTTTGATATCAGTAATTAAACCCTTGTTACAGTTTTCTTTTCTTTTGATATCAATACCTTCAGAAATTTTTGTTCTTCACAAAAGAAACTTAGAGATAACCTTCCGTGATAGTTGGTACGCAATACGTACATTCCTCGAAACAACCAAAAAATAGTCAAATAAAGAAAAACTAATTAAGAGAGATTTGAGAAAATTAATTGAAAAAGAAAAATGATGAAAAGTGGAGTATAATGTAAAACGTACGGATGATAAGCAAGACAAGAGCGGGTCGGGAGATTGAAGAAGATCACATGGGGGAAACATTTCCTAGTGCCCTTCTCTCTCTCTCTTATCCTTTCCTTATTTCCTGACGTCACCTTTCAGTTTTCTTTTATTTTTATTCATTCTTTTATTTTCGCTATCCTTTATTTAATACATTAGCTAGCAGCCTACAATTAAATTATAAATACTATTGCTCGTTAGAATTCGAATACGGAACAAAAAGATTGTCTTTTTTCTTTTTAAAATATATAAAACGGCTGTAGTGGAATTCCATGTAAACGTTAGGTACATGTAGTTTCAATTAAAGATCTCGCTTATGGATTCATACCAACTCCTGCTTTTAAGTTGATGTTAAAATATAATTTGATTAGAAACATTTTTCGGTCTGGGAATGGATTGGCCAAAATAATTAAAGAGCATCCAAATCTTAAACAATGCAAGTTAATGTAGTTTGTGGACTGTAATCTCTCAGAGGTTATTATCCATCACTAGTTATGCGTGACACTAATTGGATTGTTAATTATTGTGTTATTGATAGATTCAATTCTTGTGGACAATATTGCCACCTACGATCAAACTAAATCAAAATCTTTTGATGAATGCTTCGTAATTTAATAGAAAAATATCATTTTTTTTTTTTTCTTGGAAAGAAACTTGACCATCATCAATCCATATGATCTGCCCCACTATATTCTATTGTTTCAACTTTATCATTTTTTGTAATATCTGTCAGGTATGAATGTGAAAGGACTGCTACACAACTTGTTGGGCTAGATAAAAATTCAAAAAGGATTCATCATTAGTTTCCAATATGCACATAATGTTAAAACATGGATGTGGACACTGTTATATTATACACGCGCATATGCTTTTGCAAGTTGCATACCTAAGATTCTTGGTTAAACAACGTGACTAATATATAAATTACGATCTTTGCTATTTCAAGCCAGTTTTGTATTAATCGAGATCTGTTGTTTTTTATCCTTCTATAGAAAAATTTGATTTATGTTCGCTCAGTTTCTTCCAATCATTGTGAGATCTTAAGTCTAATTATCTAATCAACTGAGAGGAAACTGATGTATTACCAAACGAGATAAATGAAATTTGGGCTTCTTTTTGCTGTCTCCGGATTACAGTGTAGCCTTCTTTTTCATTATGCTCCTGAGTTTTTGCTGTGGCAAGTTGTTTTAAAGTGCACAAGTGGACTTCTTTCTTAATTAAAAACTAATTTTGTCTCTATACTTTCCTTTATTGGAAGTTCAACTTCATTCCTTTATCCGTGATGATCCTATCCATCCAATGATTATATTTTTAGACAAAACAAAATATTTTGGAAAAAAGCTACTACTGTATGTCTTTATCCCATCAAATAAGTATTTGGTTCAAACCTAAGATGTCTAAAAAAAAAAAAACATTTTGAACATTACCATATATGGATCAACAAACAGACGATATATTGGGCTAAAGAATAAAGCCCATGTGGTCTATTCTCTAGTGGCCCGTTAAAATACTCTCACGAGTCCACTTTTAGTCAACGATCCAATTGTGCGTTGACTAGTAAATCGGACGTCTAACGTTTTCGCCTCTGGATCGATCGATTGGAGTTTCACGTCACGTAACGATTACCGTCACGATCCCCTTGACGACGTTACTACTGCCGTTATCTCTTCTTCTTGTTTCTTTTGTCTCAATTTTGATCATTACCGAACTTGAGACACGGTCAGCTTTTCAGCCATTACAAAAGTCTAGATTCGTCTCATTACATAAAAGATATATTCAATGGCATCATATCTTATCATACGAATTTATCTGTTTTTTTGTTTGATGGATTTTAAGTCTTGGGCCGCAAAATGTATCATCGTCTCATCGACAAGTAACCATATAGACATGGGTCTGATCACTTATTTTTCAGGCCTAAACGAGACCTCTTCAAATTAACATTTTCACTGATATACTATAATGCCAAGATTAATCTGTTGATATACTGTAGTCCCATGTAATGATGAATTTGTTGATGGTGGAGGGCATGGAGCCTGGAGGCACAGTCATTTACACTGTGATTACTCTCATGATTAGCCTTTTAAACTTTATAATTAATATTCTGTTTATTATATTAGATGTATCTTCCTGATTAGAGACATCGGTCACTGTCATATACAAACCCTAATTTTTAATTATCGGCTTCTTCCGCATTTCACTTCGAAACATATAGTACAATTTTAACTTTTTTGTTTCTAAACCAATATTTAAAAAAATGAAAACATCATTACATCTTAACTAGATCTTGGACTTTTTACTAATGATAATAACCTCCAAGAAAAACGTCTCTCTTTTTTATTTCCTTTTCGTTTATACAGCTCATAATGTTACCCACTAGAAAATTCAAACTCGCAGTGGAAGGAAATAAACACCAAACCTCTAATGTTTGTAGCGCTAACATAATAATTAAAAATAAATAATGTTTTGGTTTATTAATTTCACATCATTAAAAAACTCCTTACAAGCAATTTCCTCCATAACCTGCGTTTCTGAATAATGCTTGCTTTATATCTTCCGAGGTAATGAAATCTCTCTGCTCAGCTCCCTAATAACACACATCACAAACTCATCAATCTCATCATTACAAATTTACAATATATAAGTATCATATTGTGCATTAAACTTTATCTTCAAATATATTTTTATATAGAGATTTAAGTACCTCAGAACAAGAAGCCTGTAAAGAGAAATCACTAAAGCAGCTTATAACACATTGTTCAATCTCCAAGCCTAGTGTCTCTAATGTGTTAACAGTCGATAGAAGCAATCCCGGTTTTGGCGAGCAACATATATCAACCCGAGTGTCTTCATCTCTCCGGTCCACTTCAAACTATCACAAAACATAAACCAAATCAGCATCAAACTATAAACATTTATGGGATCTTTGGCAACAATTCATAAATACAGGGGCTAGTACGTAAAATTTCCAAAAACAAGAGTAGTGACATGAAAAATATCTTTATTCTTCTTGTTGTACCTTTGGTGAGTTTCTGACCAGTGGTTCGTTTGTATTAAGATCCTTGAGATCACCGAAGAGCTTAGAGTGATGTGAATTGTTGCTATTTCCAAGTTCTTGTTCCTCGTCTTGTAATTTGTTGATTTTGTCTAAAAGCTCTTTCATGTAATCTATGGCATCTCCTAATATCGATGTCCTATCCATCTGATTATAAAACAAACCAATAATCATTACTTCAAAAACTTTTAAATGATTAACCATTTATATCCACTTTTCAAACGGTTATGTAGATTCCCGTAAAAGTAAGAACACAATAATTAAACAATCTTGAAAATAAGGTTCAAACTAGAAGAAACAAACATATAATGTTAAAAACATAAATAGGCTAAATTTTTATGAAACCCATTTTTAATATGTAAACTCATTTTTCTATTACGAGGGACGAATCTTTCGTTGATTTTTTTCTTGACCATTTTTATTATAATCATATGAAGAATCAAAGGTTAACTAAGTCATCGAAGAAAACAAATAGCTAGGGTTAGATTTTGGGATTTAATTAAGAGTTTCGGACAAGAAGATTAAAAAGGCTAATCTCTTTATTAACCCATATAATAATATATTAACCCACTCGCTAAAAAAGTAAGAATCTGCATTGATTTTGACCATTCTGATTGTAATTATTTGAAATAAGGTAAAATCATTAAAAAAAAAAAAATTTACCTTACTGATTTTGGGAACGATGGATCGGAGCATAGAAAGTCGATCATTAAGCCGTTTCCTCCGTCGTCTCTCCGCCATTAGATTCTTTGAAGGTTGGCCTTCAAGCTTCTTACTCTTCTTCTTGTTTGTTGTCTCTCCTCCTCCACAGTATCCAACACTGAAGCTCTTGCTCTGATCAGACTCCATCAATGGAGAAGGATACGACATCGGATTGTTGTAGTTCTCTTCTTGAGGAGTTGGAAGCATCAATGGAGGCGAAGAGGAAGAAGAGTCGATTATCTCTTGTAAAGCCTCAAGAAAAGGATAGTCGAATGTTGCGGCCGCTGAGGAGATTAGCGGCGGAGATGAAGAAGACGGTGGTGGTAATGGTGGTGGCTGATGAAGAAGCAATGGAGGAGGTTGAGAGATTAGATCCATGAAGGAAGAAGAGTAGAGAAGGGTATTTTCGTCTTCTTCTTCGTTGTTGAAACAGAGGTAATCAATATTCCATCCGTTTGGGAAGAATTGATGATGGTGATGATGATCAAATCCGCCATTAAAGCTCAGATTGTTCATGTTGCTGTTGTAGTTGTTGTTGTCGGTGGTTTCTTGCTTTGTCGGAACAAGAAGCTCTTCGAACGCATTCATTTGAGTCGACAGTTCCATTTTTTCTGTAATAAAGGAAGAGAAAACGAAATATGTGCGAGTTTTTTTGTGGATTAAAGAAGATGAAGTGTAAGTGTATTTATATGTAAATCGAGATATGTGTGCGAGTGAGAGAACATACTGTTAGTTAAAATAAAGATTCCTGTTTTAATTTTCAATTAGTATTTCTAGTAACTCTATTTAAATATTTATGGGCTTAATATAATGTATGATTTATTTTTGTTTGATAACACATTTTATTGTTATCTCGTGACAAATAATAATAAAACATTTTTGTTACCTATAGCCTCTAGCTAGAGGAGCTAATATAACAAGACTTGACATGAATCAATGTAATTTTTATGTTGGCAAGTTTAGTCTATGCAAAATAAATTATTGCGGTTTCTTGACATTAAAACTATTAAACAAAAAAGTACATGTTGTAAATTACTTTTATTAAAATTGTTTGTCAATGTTTTTTTTTTCTTTTCACAAATTGATAATGAACGCATTTTGATATTCACTGTGTATTGTCAAAATAAGTTCGATGAAACATTTCGATATATTTTTATTTTAGAAGATCAATGTGTTTACTCTGTCCATTTCCCATTACAAACCGAAGTCTTTCGCTATATTTTGTTCCTATTTAATTATATGTATGTTTATTTTCTATAACTACATGCATGTATCAAGCCAGGTTTAAACCGTGGGAATATTTGAAAATATTGACACTCCTAACAAGTAGACCACTATAGAGTATAGACCCAACATATATTTGTTAGATATGTTTTCTTCTGTCTATAATTCATACACGCATATTCCTATATTTTAAACCCGAGTTGAAGTATGAAATCGTAAGAATATTACATATCATTAGACTACATTATACAAACTATCAATGATAATTTTTGTCAATTATGTTTTAAAACACAGAAAATTGTAATATCTATATTTGATTAACGATGTAAGTGATTCTTTCGAATAAGATAGGCCGACTCAAATTGTTCGGAAGCAAAAAAAATCGGACTCAACACGCAATTGAGTATAATAAAATAATTTTACATAATTGACAAACAACAAGAAAGATAGTATACGTTGCTTAGTTCCCTTTCCTTACAGGAAAGCTTTGATCCCACAAATTTCTTGTCTCGACGAAAACGGATCAACATTGTCCATCCCTCTTGCTTTATTTATTTGTTTATATATTTTGTCTGCCATATTTTTGTTTTATAATAATATATTTACAAATTAACGATGAAATAGTGTTTGCGAGGAGTTTACTATAGCATCTGGCCACACAAGCGTACGTAATTTGTTTATATTGCGTGCAAATAACTAAATTGCGTCTAAATCTTGCCTTAATTTGATAATAAGCATCAGTTTTGTTTTTAATTGCAATTTGACCCTTAAATCAAGGTATCGTTTGTGAATAGTAACCCCAGCTTTTTTAATGCATAGCATAGGCCGTAGAAATAATTGCCTATGTTCACATTTGTCTTACGTCTGATATTGACGTTTATTCTTTTAATTTACGCTTTTGAAGTCAAGTTTTCACAATTCAGATGGCTATTCGCTGCAATTATTGTAAACTAATCACCGGAATATTTGGAACCTTTAGAATTTTCATAGACATGTTCTTCTTTTACGAGATGGCTTGCCATCAACGGCACCATAAGGGGCGTAAATTAGCAAATCTGAAAGTTAAGGGGTTAAATTAGATTAAAAAGTACATATATAGAAGGAAATCTAGCTACTTGACTGGTAAAATATATACGAAACAAATCCGTGGAAAATCATGCATATGCCTAGAATGTAGCTTTTTCATTTTTTTATGTGTAATTCCATGTTTGCATGTGAACTTCTTGCTCCATCTTCAGTGCCATTCTCATATATAAAACCGTAAAAAAAACAAAACTTAAAGAAAGTAAAATAAAAAAAAAGGAATAAAAAGAAGAAGAGAGAGAGCACATGGCAAAGAGAGAAGCTCCATGTTCACGAAAACAAACAAACTGTCTAAGGCCTCTCTCGTCCTTTCAGTTCACTCACTTTCAATCCATAATTAACCAATATCAACATTTCATATATATATCTACTCCTCCATACACACACATTCACATTCGTATAATACACGTGTGAGTGTATTATGTAACATTTTAATTAATCTATTACTAAAAATACAATTAGTTTAAATGATTACAGAAATATGCATTCTTCTGCATGCGTCTTAGGTCTGTATTTACAATCTCCAAATAACTTTTGATAGAAAGCAAAAACATTAAATCTCGATATAAAGGTAAACATATCATATTAACAAGATAACATTCGGTCTATTGTGTTATATACATACATATCCAACTAAAAAACATAGATAAACCCACCACGTGTCTCTATAGTCGGGCACACATCCACAGATTAGTATATGTGTGTTTATTCACGATAAAGATGAGTGTTGCGAAGAAGAAGAGACGGACAAGTCTGTGGAATGGATCGAGGCTTGTTTGTATTCAGAAGCTGTGATTTGCGTGAGTGTTTGTGGGGGCACTTTGAGATTCACTGAACTGTCATCTACTGTATCGTGTGACCCTCTCCTAATTAATGATCTCCCTCCATATGATCATCATCTTCTTCTTCCTCTTCCCCTTCACATGACTTAAAGACTAACATAAAAAAAGCTGCTCGTCAAATTTAATTAATTATAACTTCGTCTTCTTCTGTACGTACTCGTCAATTCCATTAACTTCTCTTTGGATTGTAATCATAAGTCAGAACCCTTACTAGATCTAAGAAAATTTGACTTGCACGGTTCGAATATTATTAATATTTCAAATACTTATTTTCGTTCTTTTTTTGTCAACTCTTGGTTCTCATCTATGTAAAGGAAAAATGTGACTTCTGCATGCTAAAACTAGAGAGGATAATGTAAATTGTACTACTGCCAGCTATTGACGATTGCTTATATATCTATTTGAGCTTTGATGCGGCTACAAATCTATGATTTGAATTTAGATTGTTTTACAGCCCTAATCTCATAATTCTAATTAGTTGGCTTGTTATTTCCTTCAACCAAATTATATCAATATTTGTGTATTTACCTTCTTAAAAGTTGAGAAATATGGTTAAAATTTCTTACTGCAATTTCAGTCAGAACTAATCCGTGTAAATGTTTTCATGTAACAAATAAGTCAACGCGAAGTAAATTCACAAAAATTTCGTATTACAACTCTTTGTTAGTGGATGTATTTTCGATTAATCAGTGATTAAGTACGTTTACCATAAACAAAACATTTTTTTCATCATAAAATAGAGCTAAAAACAATCCGAAAAACATAACATATTTAAGGTGAATGTATGACAAATGAAAAAAAATGAGGGTTAAAAAAAAAACAAAGATTGACCTGATTCGGTTCTCAAGGTGAATGTATGACAAAGAGAAGGGGCCAAGACCACGTGAATTCTCCAAGCAAAAACCTACGTGGCATTTCTTAAACTGTCCACGTGTCCATGTTACCATTGCCAGGCGACCACGCATCTTTTCCGTATGCGCCAAATTTTTAAATATGCGAAGAAATCAGAAATCATTTTGTTCAACAAATCATCTCATAGTTCGAAACAAAACAACTATACCAATAATATTTGTTACTGACAAAATGCAATTGTTAATAAATTTTCACAACTTTATGATATCAGCAGTGTTTTCTTATGAATAATGTATATACGGTGTGTCATTAGAGAATGTGAATGAGAATAAGCTTAAATTGGGAGATGCAATGCAGATGCAGAACATGTTTTTTTTCTTTGGGGCCTGAGCAAATAGTTTATTTTAATTTTGGGGAACAGTTATTTTGACTTCCGCAATAAAGCATATTATTGTCTAATTAAAGACAATTCCTTGAATCATTTTTAAATCCTACTAGGTCCATTTAAATACCACTTTGGTTTAAGAGAACATCTATGTCTTTTTCCTCAGATTTATACGTACCGAGTGTATATTAAACATATACATGAAGAATATAACTGTACAATAAATTATTTAAGATGGGGAAATATTAAGAAAGCCATTTATTTTTCTTTTCCGATACTCAAATGTCTAATCATTTGTCCTAATTGAGAATCTATGCATTTTTTTTCAAACCTAAATAATTTAATTTTGTACGTAGGGAGATTTTGTTCTCATTGCATGAAATCGGTGGTCAGCCCATAGTTTATCTTTGTTCCCTCATCGAAACCGCTTTTCGTTTTTCCGTTCTCCACTCTTCTTTTTTAAATACGACTATTACTATTATTGTAAAGGATACAAAGGACACATATTTCTTCGTTTCGGGCCCGTTTGTGGACGCCTAAGTTATTCTTAATATATACAATAGAGATGATAAGATTTAGGTTAAACGAGTGATTAATGCCACACATTCGAAGAACACATAAAATTTCGAGTTATTTTTTTAAAAACTCAAGGATGTTAAAATCAGGATCGACCCTCGTGTTGATACTTTGTCCAAATTTCATGTAGATCATATCCAAAATGTAGTTCTTTAATCCGATGTCTGAATTCATGAATTTGTTTTGCTTGTGTTATAAACTGAAAGTGGACTCAAGAGCTAGAGTGTATTTGTCATATAGGATGTGGGTTTTAAAAAACATGATTGAGAGGATGGAACGACGGCATGCACAGAATCAAGATTGGAATTTTGCCCACCAATACCAAAACCTGGATTTGATACAATCACAAGTATAACCGTTTATAAAAGAAAAGAGGAAGATGCTAAAATCATCAATAGTTCAATACACAGTGGATATAGTAAGGAGAAGAATGCGTATGAATAAGAAGTTAAATGGCAACGTCGTATTCTCGATTCCATATATAAGTGTACGTTAAAGTAAGAGCTCACGTATAGTCAGCATGTCACACTCATTGCATTTTTATTTTTAATTTCAACAACATGCTTTTCCAATCATGCTATGTGTTATGGCATTTTATTAACGACTTTTAATTGGTTCATATATTCATTCATATACTGTCGAAA